ATCTACAATCTACAATCTACAATCTACAATCTACAATCTACAATCTACAAAATAAATTCAGAATAACTTTATTTTATTACTGTTATTACTATTTCTAATCTGATAAATAATCTGAGTCCCCTGGATGGATTATGAAGTTATTTAAAGAGTAAAAATACAAAAATAAGCTGCATAGGAAATCAATAATAAAAACATATAAAACATCAAAATGATTTCTTGGATTAATTAGTTCTGCCTTTTAAATACAGCTGAGCTTTCTTGCATTGAGCAAAAAATGTCCATTAATTCATAAAATACAAATTACTATAAGTGGCAATCAATTAGTGCAGCAGTTTACTCTAGTTGAAGCAAGCATTAAAATAGCTGAAACTGAAGGCAACAACAGAAGTGAAAAATACATCAGTACTATAAAATGTGTACAGTTTGTGTGTAGAAGAAAAAAAATGGCTAGTGCTTTAAAAACACTAACTTCCATATGTTCATTTCCTTGAATTAAATGGGTGCAATTATTGTAATAATTTTTTTTCCTATTACTATTTTGTTTGTGTGTTAGACAAGAGGCACTGGAGGAGATTGTGTCTTTTCCACTGATCAAACAAAGACTAGAGTGAGCAGCAGATTTAATGAAACATCAGCAAAGAGTAATTCCAGAGAGTCTGCAGAAATTGCATGATATACAGGCAGCCCAAGTCAATTGAGTGATAGTACTAAATCACAGGCATGCTTAATCAGTTGATAATAACCTAAAATTCCAGCATTGAAGAAAAATTAGAGAGCATGTCACCTGTTTCTGTTAAAGATTATTTTCTGAGTCTTTTAATTTTGTAATTAATTAAAATAAATAATTTTGAATTTAAATTTAATTTAAATGGAATATTACAATGGATTTCTGTTTGCCTCTTTTCAAACTCTGTTCCATGGGTCCTCAAACTATGGCACGTGGGCTACTTGTAGCCCTCTGAAACCATTCATCCGGCTCCTGCAGGACCACAAGGCTGCCCCGCCCACCTCGCCCCACCCACCCTTTGGCCGAGGGCAGGATGGAACTGAAAGGTAAGGCCAAGAATTTTGGCCTGCAGAGATGTTCTGGAGGTGGGGAGGTGAACAACGGGGTGCACAGACACCCCAGGAGGCCAAACAACTGGTGAAAATGGCCCATTTTCACCTTCCTGCCTCCAGAAGATAAAGATAGATAGATAGATAAATAGATANGGAGCTCCATTTTCGCTGGCAGACGCACCATGGGCCAGTCCTTCGCTGTTTCCAGGGCAGGGCAGCCCCGCGGGCCACTTCTAAGCCGGATGCCTTGAGTTTGACACCCCTGCTAGAAGGGATCTGAAGTCGTCAGAAGCCACAGACACAAGTTGCTTGTTACTGACCCTGCTGCGTGGTGAAATGGGAAGCTACCGAGGCTCTTCCGGGCCCCATAGAACCTGGGGCAGCTCTTGCGGAAGACATGCCCTCCCACACGCTCCCCAAAACGAGAGCGCGGCTTCCTCTCCACCTGGGCTCCCGCCCGAGGCAGGCGCCCACGGGGGCCGTGCTTCCAACTACCTGGCTACCTGTCCTACACCTGCGTGGAAGCGACTGCTCCAGAAGCGTTTTAGACACAAACGAAGGTAAAAATGATACCACCTGTACAAGTACCCTTACCACTATTGGTCCCGTATATGAGCCCTCTAAGTGGCAGCGGCTTCCCAAGCAAGAATCCGGGACCTTGTGAATATCACATAAGCAGAGATCAGTGTCAAATAGTCCGAGTCCCACCCCAGCTCGAAGACAGGAGGGGCATACCTGGGGGAGGGAAGGGCGGCGGGAGGAACCCCTCTGGCTTCGGAGCCTTGCACTGGTTACACTCTGTTCTCCAAGCAAAGTTCTGGTTTCCACAGCCCCTAGGAAGGAGAACCACAGTTCTATTAGGAGGGGTGGGAGGGGGGACCATGGTGAGTGTGTCTGTGTGGGGGTGAGGACTGGCCTGATTGACAACCAAAGTCCCCATACGCTCTCGCACAAGAGCCAAGGATGAGCAGGGATGCCCGCCCCCATCTTCGCAGAAGGACCGTTGCAGAGAATATACAACACCCTTTCGCTCTTCTACGGAAGCAGGTGGGTGGCTAGGAAGTGGCGCAGGTGAGACAGGTGAAAATGAACGACAGGTAGTCTTCGACTTAAAACAATTGAGCCCAGAATTTCTGTGTCAGGTTTCCAAAAGTTACCCTAATTACTTAAGTTCCTAACTTACAAACCTCGAGCCAAGTTTCAAAAGAAATCCAGTCATTTATTAGGAACAACATCTTGGCAGCGTCTAACCTGTTTAATTATGGCTGAACTTTACCCGTTTCTCCCTCAGTCTGTGTCATAAATCACATTCACCAATGAGTTGCTGCAGGTTGTCAAATTCCATGGGTCGCAAGCCTGCTGTAGTAATCTGAGATCCAACTAGCCGAAGGTATGCGTGATATTCTCCCCCCCCCCTTTCCTCCAATATCAATTTGATAAGATATGGAAATGCTTTACAAGTTGGCATTCCATTGTTAAGTGAAAACATCGGTTAGGTGAATTGTGACCCGTTTTTCGACCTTTCTCGCCCACCGTTAAGTGACTCGTTGCGCTTGTTACAATTAGTAACATGGTCGTTAAGCGGAACAGGCTTCCTCATGGACTTGGCTTGTCACGAAAGGGGATCGTGGGACAGTGCAACCGTTGTAAATGCGAGGTAATGTGAATTTCGATCCTGCGACCATGGGGACGTTGCAATGATTGTTAAGTAGGCGAAAAACGGTCTTTTTTTTCAATGCTGTCGTATCTTCAGTCACTAAACAAACTGTTGTTAAGTCGAGGACTACCCTGGGTATATTTTGCCCAGGTGGGCTGAGGCAGGCAAACAAGGATCAATGATCGTGAAAGGGGGGTTTCTGTTTTTTTAGGGAAGCCCCACGGAGGGATATTACTGTGTTCAGGGGAGGGGGGGGGAGAACGGCACGGGACTTACGGATTCGGGCACTGCCAGTCTCCAGCTCGGTGCTGGACGTTTCCACCCCCAGAAGGGTTTCCTCGGGATCCTCGGGGCCCTCTTGGGGCAAAGCCACCGCCCCGGTCACCACCTCGGCTGCCCATACGACCCATTGGTCCACCAGGTCCCCCTGGGCCTCCTGGACCTGAAAGATAATAGCCGGTGAGTCCAAAGACACTCCCCCCACCCAGTGGGGCATCATGTGCCGCTTTGTGCTTGTGCCCCAAAGGTTACCTCCACGGAGAGGGGGAGGCATACCGCGAGGTTCCCGGGGCAACATGCCTCCCCGCATGCTGTTCAGAGGCAGCTTCTTCCGAGTCATGGAGACCTTGAGTTTGCTGCCTTGAAACTCCTTCCCTGAAACGAAGCAGAAAACATTCCTGGGGTCATCAAAGCTGCACCTGAGGGGGGTCTCGCGACACAGATGGCTGGTTAGGTATTCAAGTTCAAGGCAGGTTTGTCCTTAAGGAGGAGGAATGGGGAAGCATGGGGGAGGGCTGGACTTGGTTCCCCAACCCAACATTTCTCAGCTTCCCCTGGGTGAAATTCTTGNACAATATACACTTTTGTTGGCAGGGTGATGTCTTTGCTTTTTAGTATGCTATCTAGATTTGCCATAGTTTTCCTCCCCAGGAGCAAGCGTCTTTTAATTTCTTGGCTGTAGTCCCCAACTGAAGTGATTTTGGAGCACAGGAAAATAAAATCTGTCATTACCTCAATTTCTTCCTCATCTATTTACTAGGAATTGAGAGGGCCAGATGCCATGATCTTAGTTTTCTTGAGTTTCAAGCTAACTTGTGTATATTTTTCCTTTTTATTTGTATTAATGTTCACTATTTAAAAACTATTCAGCTTTGTGAAAAGTTAGAACAATATACGATGAATGAATAAATAATTTGCCCTCTCTCTTCCTCCATTTTACAACTGATACCGTAGATGAATCTGACAGAAAATCATCCAGTATCATCCTGGATGTTCATGGCCTCAGTGAGGTTTGTAATTTTGTATCTCTTTGGTAGTAATTTAAAATTCTAAAAAATCTGATACTTAAAACAATGGGCAGACTGCTGGCTTTGGGATCAAGGCAGGATATATCCTATCTGCTGGACCTACTGAAGATATCAGAAGTAATAGGATGCAGAATCCTAGAATTATACTGACAAATACATACAAAACATGATAGTTACTTGAAAAAACATGTTGCTCCAAACAAAACAAGATGACTTAAAAGAACAAATCTATTCACAATAATGGCCTCCTAATTCTGACAAAACACAATTTTTCTTCAGCTTTTTGCCTTAGCAGAAAGAACAGGAGAAAATAGACTATCTGTATCAGAATCCTGCTAAATTCATCATATCGATCCTCAAGCTGTGTCATATGAATATACACATACACGCATGGTTTGTTTTGGTTGTTGTTGTTTTTGTAGAATGAGAAACATTCATGTCAACCTTTCTTGAATTTTATTAATGAAAATATTCTTTTCCATGAATTGTCTAAAATGCTTAACTACTTCAATACTATTTTAGTTATGTTCCCAATTATTGCAGATGATCCATAACTGAAATAACTTGATCCCATTTTAAAGCTTTCTGGATTTGAATACATATAATTATAGTCTAGATAAAATCATCCAAAGAAATGATTTGGCAACCTTTGTATTTCCTAACCTTGGGTTGTAAATATATTTGTTATCAAATTCCTAAAAGGTTTGAGCTTCTGGACTGAGTTCACACAATTTGCCAAAGCATAAATAAAGACTAGGCAATCCGTTGATGGCTAGGATCATAGGTAACATTTGAGGGGAAGAGAGAAATACAATGGATAAGGCAATACTTGGACAGAAGATTCATCTGTGTTGGACAAGACTTTTCTGGATGTTCACTGGAGTTTGGGAAGTTTCTTTGTAAGATTTTCCATCTCTCCTCCATTGCTCCAAATTTGCCTGCCTGAAATTGCCACTTATCCTTTTGAACTTTCCTAATATATAACAGTAAAATGGATTTTTAAAAGATACAATGTTTAAAAAATACGACGGCAACCTGAAGTGGGAACTTCTTCCCTCTGTAGTAAACTCGGCTTAGGATACCCTTCCTCCCTTTCTTGGAGAGACGAGCACTCTGCACGTCCTCAGAGCCACTCTTACGCCGAAGCTCGGGCGACGACCACCACCCGCTTCAAACTTTCCCCCTCCCACCCTTCAATTCCCACCCCCTTCTCCACCCCTTCTCTGAGGCCGCGTGGGTTACCTGCGGGGGCGGGGCGGCCTCGCAGAGCAGGCAAGAGCGGATCCCCTTGCACCCGCAACCCCTGGCTTCTCCGAGGCCGGCTCCATCTTCTGCTCCTCCTCCTCCTCGCCTTTTAGCAGCCGCCATCCTACCCCACCCCGGTAGCTTTTGCCGCCGTCGGCCCCCCTCCGTGCTTCCGGTTCGGCGAGCCTCGGCGGTGGCAGCAGAAGCAGCACCAGAAGGTTCTGGCGCCCGCCTGAGGTAAGGCTCAGGCCGAGCACGGCGAGAGATGGGCTGGCACGGAGCCCGGGGGCGTGGGGACAAGGGGCCGGCAGCCGATGGGGCGTTAAAGCGAGCGCGCGCCCGGCGGGAAATATTGAGGCGAGCCGCCTCCCTCTTCGGACTTTTCTCCTCAAGGCCCTACCGGCCGCCTTGACTTGAAGGAGCGATGTTGTTGGCGGGAAACTCGCCTTCCCAGCAGCGCTTTGCGCGGTTTGTGTCTAAGAAAGGCATCCTCGCCTCCTGCCGGGGCGTGATGGGAATTGTGGTCCCGAGGCCGGCCGAGCATTTAAAGATGCCGCTGCTCTCCTGCCTTACCCTCCCCTCTCCGGTTTTCCTCTTCGCCGCCACACGGCGCCTCTTTCTCTCCGGGCTCGTTTTTTTTTTTTAAATAAAATCTGCCCCTCCGTAGTGAGATGATGTGTAATTTTGTTTACATATTGGTAGATGTCGGTCTGTCGGAGGAGAGAGGTTTTTTTCCCCCATTGTTCAGTAGGGTGTTAGGAAGACGAGGCGGCAACCAGACCCTCTAAGCTGCTCATTTTCCTTTTGAAACAATAACCCCCCCTTTTTTTAGGGTGGGGGGACGGACATGCAGTTTTCCCCTCTTCCATCTCATTTCAGATTGAGGTTTGCCTCAGAGATAAGTGGGTCGGTTTTTTTCCTTTTCGGCATCTCCCTGCTGTTCCGCCACCTCAGGTATACATCGTCGTAGTTGAAAACTGCTCTTAAAAAATAAGCCGCCTTCTCCAAGATGCTTAGGCATGTTCTATTCCCCTCCCCATACCTTTGAAATTGCCTATTCTCTGATTTAGTTAGTTTCAGTAATAACACACACACAAAGCCCTTTTTTATTGGGAACAGGGGAGTCAAAGGTGCTCATCATTTTGGCACAAGTCGGCTATTATAAATGACCTGGAAATCAAAATACCCAATTATGATGACAACCCTTCCTAAAACTGGAAAAGCTCCCTCATTTTAACCCAAATTCTACTCATTCCCTGTCTTTTGATGCTTTTCTGGTATGTCCAGAATTGCTATCCAGATATGTAAGACTGTTAGAGCTGAGATTAATTTTTTAAAGGTCCATAATATAGGGGTGGTGCTAATATAATACATGCATGTATAAATATGTGTTTCAGCCATGAATTTCTGAAAATCTATATAAGGCAATGTACAGGGGGTAAGCAAAATGAAAATCAAAGAGGTGAGAGGGACTGTTAAGACCATTAACATCAAATCCTTGTTCAGTTTAGGAATTTGAATTAAAATATTCCTGAACTATGGCCCTTCAGCCTCTTTCTGTAAACATTGAGTCAATGGAAGCCCACCATTTTTGAGGGATAAATATTTTTACTGTCAAACTCTCTTACATTAATTTTTTTGTAACTGGACATTTAAAGATTCTTATTCCATGTTTTTGCACTATGAAGTGTTTTAAGTTCTGACCAACTGTTGATCAACCTTCTTCATTCTATTGCTTGATAATTGCTTTCAGTTGTTTTCTGTTGGGAATAAACATACAGTACAGATTTCCCTCAGGTATAAAACTAAATTTTTAGTTTTTGATCATTCATTTTGCATTTCTATTTGTTTCTGTGAATCTTCTTAAAATATAGTATCTGCAACTGGACACTGTACATGAAGTGGAGTCTGAGGAAGGCCGAATATAGTTGCTTTGGCAACTGCTTCTGTTGATGCATTCTGAATTGCATTTCCCTTTGGAGCTGTTATCATGTTGATTCATATATAGTTTACAAATAACATTCCCAAATTTTTTTCATATGTTCTAGTATGGTCAAGAGATCATGTATGTGTGTATTTTATTTCTTTTTTGTAAGTGAAGAACTTTGCATTCATCTTTATTAATATTCATTCTAGTTTGAGCCCACTTTAATAGCCTATTATTTATTTTGAATTATGCTTCTTCTGTAATATTCTCTCATTCAATTTTATGTTAGCTATTGTAGATTCTTCTGATTCCTTAAATGATGGATATATGCGTGCGTGTATGTATGTATGTATGTATCTATCTATCTATCTATCTATCTATCTATCTATCTATCTATCTATCTATCTATCTATCTTATCTATCTTATCTATCTATCTTATCTATCTATCACCTTTTTTCCTTCTGTGGAAAAGAGGTGTAATATTTTTTTCAGAAACTTGTTTCCTCAGCCATAACTTTGAACTGCCAGCTAAAAAAAAAATTGTCTCTCTGATAAAGATAATGAAGTATTGGAAAATGTTAGTAGAAAACTAAGGAAAGCATCTTAGAAGCTTTAGGAAGCTCTTTACATATGTTAGCAAAAGTATGGCTTCTGGACTTGGAAGGAATTTGGACAGAGTTGGGATGATATCTATTTATAGAGATTAGAAACAAATTAATGATCCTGAGCATTGTTTGAGACAAGTATTTTTCTGCTTGGGTTATATTTCTCTGTGGCCTGGTTTCAGTTTTAATTCCAGTCACAGGTATAGCTTCAGGTGTTGATCTGGGTCCAGATTGCCTGTATATCACTATTATGATTTAAGTTTCTTTAACAAAATGTGGAAATCATTGATGTGTAAATAGAATATTCCATCCCTCACCATATTGTATTTTTACTTACTTTAATTTAAACAATGGATATTAATTGTAAAAATAATAGGTTGAAAAGCGAAATGCAACATTGTTTCCTTTTGTTACAAATCATTTTCCAAAATTGTTGGCTTTATAGCATTGCCATCAAATATGAAGAAAAAAAACGATCCAATCTGATATTGCATTTCCAGCCATTTTTACAAAATGCATTATCTATTTTGGCACTCAACACTGTGTAATATACCACCAACAGGACATCTTATGCCATTTCTCTCTATGTGTAATACTGATGGTATATTATCTATTTTCCTTTGTTATCCCTATGTTTGCATATTTTT